ACCCATCTGTGGATTAAAATTTCGAGTAACTTGATACCCTGGATTTGGAATCATATGAAGGGTATTGCAATCTGTTCCATAATGATATCCCTATGAAATCTCTATCTATTGGGTCATTTGCTAATTTGTTGCTTGAAGTCTTTGGTTGTAGATGTTAGGATCTGCATCTCTACGAATCCTTTGAACTGATGGCGCTATTTTTTGAGCCGACGATGGTATTTGGCCTAATGTGCCAAAATTAACCATTTGATTCTAAACTTGCCCTGTCGGCTGTTGCACATACTACACTGCTGATCTAGGATTATTTTGTATTTGATTAGTGGTGCCTTGAACTTGCTCAGATGAGTTCTAAACTGCCTGGACATCATCATCACCAGTTAGTGCTGCTTCTTGATGGCTAGTACCAGCTTGATTAGTCCCCTAAGTCGACGGATGTGGAATATTGTAATAAGCCAGCCCAACCTGATCAATTAGATATTCATGAAACACCTCTCTCATGGTATTGTGGAAGGTGTTCAAGAAAGTTGTATTATGGTTTAACATGGCATCATGAACAGATTTGTTTACATCATCTATGAAGAAACGCCTATCATCAGCTTCATCTGTGTCTGATTGCCCATGCATCAAAACTCTTGGTAGTGGATATTTCTGGATGACCTTGTTGTCATGTGTCTTGATGTAGGACAATAGACACTTGTTCTGGAATTCTTCTATAGCTTTGCTGGTGACATCTTTATCTTTATCAGGTAGATCTGCATAAGGCACCATAAGAATGTCCTTGTTGTGAGTTGCCATGACGATTGTGGGGTCCCACCAGGCGTGCCAGAACGCATGTCGACGTGAAAACATGATAGCCGCGCCGTGTGGACACACAGCAAGCCAGAACGATCTGGAGATCTACCTGGCTTCAATGCAGCAACAGTCAACCCTGTGAATTTCCAAGGGCGTGCCAGTCAATTTGACCTGTAATTGACAAGGAGAGAAAGTTCATCAGTAATTTAGGACGTAACATGCCGGTTTTGCCTAGACAGTTCCAAGTGTGCCGCTTCGGGAGCGGCCAGACAGGAAAAATCTACTAAAACTGCCGATACGAGAAGAAATCAGCTATTTAGGACTATAAAGCTCGCGGGTCATGATTTAACTAATACAATGCACCCAGTTTTAATAATCCTTTCCCTTGAGCTATTAGCATGTATGCGTCGAAGATACATCACTGGCTAAATTAGATTTTGATCAATACGTGGTGTAGAGCTAATGAATCTGGTGAAAAGGGATATGACACGCAAATAATCGACTGTTTGATATAGATAGATCTACGAACCGTCTAGATCTAATCTATTACCGTCAACAGTGAGGTTCGACCGGATCGATGCAGCTATGATGATGATGATAGTCTAGAACTAGAAAGTCCATAGAACTGATCATACTTCAACAGGCTCATAAAAGCGTGCCATATCTGTGAAAACACAGGCGAAACGGCTAAAATAGCTGATTCGAATAGAAAAGAGATTACAGCATGTGAATAATCGACTATTTAATATCGACAGATCTATAAACTCATCAGACCTAACCTATTATCCTTAATAGTGGGGTTCGACAGGATCGATGGCAGCCATGATAAAGACAACAAATCAAACCTTTAAAGTAAACAAATCTATTCACATTTAACAGAATCATGAAGACACACTATAAGCGTTAAAGTACGGGCGATCAGCTATTTAGCCGATCCAAGCATAGCAAATAGTCAAGGTCATGCCTGGTCGAAAGCAAATCTACCAACTAGCATACTCTGATTTAAAGTACTATCAGTGGGGATCGACCGGATCGTTACAGCCATAATAGCGAGCTATAAACAAGATTCAACTAGCTAGTAAACCTTCTTAAGATCAGACAAGCCTTAGCCACATACTATGCGTGACCAAGATCGAAGTAGAACAGCCAATAAAGCATAATCCATTGTTTAAAGTAAGAACCATAGCAATGTGACAAAATAAACGATGGACTAAAAGGATGTGAGGCCAATCTAGATCGATCTCGATCGGGCAGGTTGATATTGCTGAAACTAATGACAATTAGAATATCAGCAAGATCATTAACTTAATGAATCTACCCGGAGGACACCACCCTTAGGTAGAGCCGATAACTTGACCTTAATCTAATTCGAGCAGTGGAGGTCGAACTTAACAGATGCAGCCATACTTGAACTAGATAAGGATCGATAACTAGCTTATACTATAGCTCATAAGAGGTTGGCCGGACTGATGCAGCCTTATGAACAGAAGCATAAGCCATGATGGTACTTACAGACAAGCTAGAGGTCGACCGGATCGATGCAGCCCTGCTTGTTGAAGAACTCGTCGAGATCTACAGTACTCCTACTCCTAAGGTTGGTATGAAGCCAAAAAAAAGAAATTGGTATTGATTGATTGTATATTTCTTTACAATAGCCGGGGTCCAACATTTATACCCGGAACCTAAGCATGAATCCTACTCAAGTACGACTTATTACAATCTTTGGTATAAGCGAAAACATTCCTAACTTAAGATAACTTGGACCCTAATCTTTCCCTTTTTGTAGAGTCCGACATGTTTTTCCCGACGCCAACCGTAGCTCATTGATGTTATCTACTGATGTCATCCGAAGAGAGCCGATCCCAGTACCGCAACTGAATCAGCTGATATCGATCCTTATGCAATCAATTCCTTGATGACACAATCTTGGAAGCTTCAAGTTCCCGTGTTCTTCTTTCCAAATTTTGGTGTAAACAACCTTCTTCTTGGTGGTCTTGTCATCATCACTTGAATCATCATCACTTGAGGAAGCATCACTATCCCAAGTGACCACTTATGAACCACTCTTCTTCTTGCTTTTTTTGGAGGTCATCTTGTCCTTCTTTTCTTTCTTCTCCTTATTGTCCTTCTTCTTGACCTTCTTGCCCTTCTTTCTACCACACTTGAAGCACCATCTTGGTTCATCCTTGTTCCTTGATGATGACTTTTTTCTTCTAGCACGATAGCCCTTTTTCACTATGAATTTGCCAAATCTCTTCACAAAGAGAGCCATCTTCTCATCATCTTCATCATCCCAAGAAAATGAGCCTTCATCTTCACTTGACGTGTCTTGTTTTGCCTTGCCCTTGCACTTGGATGATGAGCTGGCCTTGAATGCTACTCTTTTCTTCTTCTCATCCTTCTTCTCATCTTTCTTCTCCTTGTTCTTTTCTTCCTTCTCATCATCATTTCTATATGTGTCATCGATCATCACATCTCCCAAAACTTGGTTTGGTGTCATTGTGTCCAAACCGCTCCTCACTAGCAAAGTGACCAACATCCCAAATCTTGATGGTAAGCATCTCAAGAACTTATGGGAGAAGTCCTTGTCCTTCACCTCCTCACCAAGTGCTTTGAGATCATTGACAAGCACTTGGAGCCTATGAAACATCTCTGGCACACTCTCATCATCCTTCATCTTGAAACTTGCAAACTTCTCCTTGAGAATGTATGCCTAGGCTCCCTTCACCGCTTGAGTGCCCTCAAAAGATTCCTCCAACTTCTTCCAAGCTTCATGCGCCATCTCAATGTTTTTAATTTTCTCAAATGTTCTCTCATCAATAGCATCATGAATGGCACTAAGAGCAATGTCATTGTTTTGGAGTAGCACTTCTTCGACCGTCGATGGGATTCTCTGGATCGGCTATCTCAATTTTGGTCTCCACTACCTTTCACACCTTTCAATTGATTGACTTGATATGAGTGGTCATCTTTGACTTTCAATATGGATAATTTGTTGCATCAAATTGGGGTGGCTTCATGGTGTTGTTGATTTGAGCCATTTTGACACCGTAGTTTGTTAAGCCTCAAATCACGGTGACCACAGCTCCAATACCACTTGAATGGTCCTAATGGCTAGAGGAGGGGTGAATAGCCTATAAAAATTTCTATAAACAACACTTAAGCCAAGTGGTTAGACAATTAAATGGTGAAGCGAGTGTTGCACTAGCCTACTAAAAATACAAGCCACCTAACCACAATTCTAGTTGCTATAGTCTCTAGGTCACACACAAGGCTAAGTCACTACTACTAAGATAGTGAACTCTCAAGGACTAACTAAAGAGCCTCCTAAAAAAGTGCACATCTGAGACGATCTAATAATGTCATAGTAAACGCTAAAAGCGTCATGGAAAGATATCTGTGACGAAGTTATGATGAAATTATGTTCGTCATCTTTGTAGCATCACAAATGTTGCACTGTGACGATTTGTCGTGTTTCATCACAGATAAGTTTACATCCGTGACGATTTGGGCACCGTCACTGAACTATTTCAGCAGGCGTTGTAGTCGACACGTGTATGACGGTAATGTTGACGCGTTTCATTCGCTCAGGACGACACGTGTCTTAAGCTAAGGTTTAGACGTGTGTGACTATGAGTACGGCACGTGTCCTAAAATAAGGTTGACACGTGTTTGAATATGAGGTCGACACGTGTATGCTCTGTGAGGTCGACACGTGTATTTCTGAGAGGTTGACACGTGTATTTCTAAGAGGTTGACACGTGGCATTATCTTAACGCTGGCGAAGACGTGGCAGTGCTTGAACGATGATGTTTTTTCGTCATAAATTAATTCTTTGATTGGATAAAATACAGGCTGCAGCCGTGCCTGATCACTCAATCCAGAAACAGAACATAATTTACCACATACAACAATTCATACATCATACACAGTTTATACATCACATGTTTAAATGTTCTCACAACTAAAGTTCCCAAACACAGGGGAACCACAAACATAGGGGAACCACAAGTTCCATAGGTTCACATCACTTGAACCACAAGTTCCACAGACCAGGCAATCACAGAATAAGTTCACAAGCGACAACTGACAGACCAAGTTCAGCAACTTATTATGAGTACCAACAGTAGCGACACGAGTACCAGCAGTAGCGACACGGCCCAGCACAACCATGGACTGCAGAGGAACCTAGGCAGGATAGGAACAAGCTAAGTAGCTCGATTACCTAAGTGGAGGCCCAAGATGCGCTGAAGGATCATATCATTAGCTTCTTGTTTCTTCTTGAACTCCTCTAGCTCTTGCTGGTTCTTGAGCACAACTTCTTGGGTCCTGGCCATGGATTCTTCTATTTCTGTAGCTTTCTTCTTTAGATGGACCAGTTGTTCTTCAAGATTATCAGCCCGTTCCTTCTCCACCTGTAGATGTTCCCAAAGTTGTGCCTCTCTTGCAGCTGATGCAACAGACTTGCTTACTGGTGTTTCAATACCAACATTCTTGAGGAATGTACAAGCTGCACTGGTTTGTGAGAGAACCTTCGAAACTATCTCAGTACTAGATCTTGGTGTCTCCAAGTCTTGAGCAGGCTGGGCCAACATATCTTCCATGGTACTCTACAGCAAACAGGTGCAACATTAGTAAGTTCATTATGCAGAATCTATTTCACAAGCCAAGTTATGAAAACCATCACAAAACATATTGCTGTATACATTTTAAAGTACATGAACATCAAAGATATGAATATCCTATCCATGTAATAATGCCATCCAGCAAGCATATAGGGACAACTATTTAATTCCTAAGCACAGATAGGACCATCCTACTAGCATATAGGAAAAGTAATAACCAGCAATCATATAGGAACATCTTTTCTATGTACTAATCTCACCCAGCAAGCATATAGGAACATCAACATAGCATTTCACAATCATGTACAGACAAACCATGCACTACCTTCTAGAAAGCATGTAGGAACCAAACTTAGCATTTCTCAACCATGCACAACCTTCCAGCAAGGGTGTAGGAACCCAACTTAGCATCTCACAAGCATATAGGAACACAACTTAACATTTCAGAACAATGCACGCAACATATGATTCCATATATAGGCATAAACACATGAACAACTTTCTATGTACTCATCCCCTCCAGCAAGCATGTAGAACAACCTTCCATTTCATAAAGAACTGATAGAACCATTGACACACAACATCTAAGCATATGAACATACTTTCCATGTACTAATCCCATCCAGCAATTGTAATTAGCATAAATTCACACATATACTCAATCCCAACAAGCAATGATATGTAGGCACTTACAACTATTTCTTTGACCACATCAGTCATACCCTTCTTCTTGCTGGTATGCAATTCCTTGAAGATCTCAACTGCATCCACCTCTCTATCCTTGTTTTTCTCCTTCTTTACATAATTATAGCAGGAAATGCAGCAAAATTAGCTTTTGTTTGTAGACAACTTTATAGGAAATAGATATGTATGTTTAAATCAGATACAATGTATTGTCCCAGTGTTTTAGCACTTACAAATGCATACAAGTGTGAGATGTAGCTTCGAGATCCCGTCACTTGATGGTGTCTAACCTTCTCACGGTTTATCTTGTTCTTCCGACCAGTTTCCTATAAGACATATATGTAAATGGAAGACAACATAGAGAGAACAGAAAACTTTCTTTACAACATCATGATACCTTTGCTTTTGGAGTAGACCACATCGCCACGAGTGCCTTCCACTCGTCGTCAGAAATACTAGGAACAGGGGAAGTAGTGGGGACTTCATTAGCCGGTATACCATTGAAGTACTTGTTCTTCAACAAATATCTCCTCTGGCGTACAGCACCTTGGAGTATATTGCTGTAGTCTTGAACTGTTGGCTCAAACTTGTCATCAACTGCCAACCTAACCTGCAAAAGTCAATCACCCAGCGGAGTTAGCTCTTAGCATTTGGTATAGTTACTTATTGAAGGTACCAAATAGATATGGAAGGTATCAATTTACTTACAGATAACTGGCCCATGAATTCTTTCAGTTGGCTTTCATCTTTCTTGTAATGTTTCCAGTGAGTTAGGATAGGCATGCTCTTCCTAGTGATAAGTCTAGCCTCTGAAGCTAGCTTAGCAGCTTGTGCAGGCTTCTCTGGCCTTCTCTTCCCTGCAGCAATTTCAATTGGCAATCTCTTTCCCATAGATTTTGTCATATTGTCCAGCAATTTGCCTTTTGTTGGTGGTCTTGGCTTTCTTGGAGCACGTTGTCGAGCTACAAAAGTGACGCTATTAGTGTCAGAGTAATCCAAGTAAAGCAAAGAATGTGAGAAAGCATGGTCTATTACTTGCCTTGAGGAATAGCATCTAACTCTTCTGTGACCTCATCTTCATTTGTATTATTTGGGTCATCAAATACAGAAAAGTCCAGAATAGGACTTGGGGGATGTTCTTCTTCCCCTTGTCCCACAGATTCTTTGTCTCATTGTTCTCTGGTAGCGGAGTTGGTGTCCCTCGTACCATAATCGTGGGGTGGTTGGTGATGTACTTCTTTCCAGACCTGGTTGCAACTCTAGGAGTTGCCTCACTGCCGCCAATTGCCCTGACTCTTTTCGTGCCACCTGGAGGCATCTTGGTCTTCTTCTTCCAATTTGTGCCCCGCTTGTTGCTTTTCTCAGTTTCCTAATACAGAAGGGTAAACAAATCTGTTATTACAACCTGCATTAAAATGTACATTGCACAGTGTAATGTAAAAAAAAACCCCACCACAACTGTTTCAGCTTCCTCTTCCTAGCCGCCCTCAGCTCTAGGAAGATACTCCGATGAATCTAACCCCTCCCCATGACCATTCTTGTTTCTTGGCTTGTCCGAGTTCTGAGAACTTGCATTTGCCATTCTTTCTTTAATAGAAGCGGCCAAGGTACGAATACCCAAGGATTCCATGAACCTTTTGTTCTTCGTGACTTGCAAGTCCCTCAGCCTTTCATAGTACCCTATTTATTTGTAAATGAATTTTAGTCCAATTGATCCCTACACCATAAAACCTAAACAATAAACCCTAACATCTTACCCGTCATCCGTAAAACCTAAACCCTGCCTAGTGAACACATGCCTAGTGAACACAGTAATCCGTAAAACCTAAACCCTACCTAGTGAACAAAACCATACACCTAAAAGGGGAAGCATTCGGTAGAACCTGGGCTCAGGGGGAAGAGGAGTGTTGCGGTTCGTTTAGGCATTGTTGATGAGAGTTGTATCTCCGCTGGGGTGGACGATCTCCGGTGATGTAGTCGTGTGGCTCCTCCGTCTTCGGGTCACAGGTCACGTCTCTATGGCGGATCTGGGCAGGGCGAAATGGGCAACGGCGGATCTGGGCGGTAAGAGGGTGGCGGTGGGTGGGCTCTAGGTGGGCAGCGGCGTAGGGATTCTTGGAGGGCGGCGGTGGAGGCGAACTAGGGTGGCGGCGGAGTGGATGCGGGAGGAGTGAAATGAGACCGAGTGGAGTGGATTCGCGGATATATAGTCCGCTGTATATTTACTATTTTACCTCTGCTGTAGTCAATCAAGAGTCGACGTGCTTGAGGGCAGTTAGGGGATTTTCTCAGCTACCAAAGTTTGGGCGGGGGATTCGCGTCAACCGCCGGGCCGTTTAGGCGGGAGAAGTGAAAGGAATTTTCTTTTTTTTGTCAGTAAAAAATGGTTCTTTCTTTAGCTTTTGGGGACTATTTTTGTGTTGAAAAATGATATTTGTTTCTCTAAAATTGATATCAATTTCCATTTGCCTGTGATTCAAACTTTTATTTTTATAATGATGTTTTATGTACCATAGTAATCTAAAATGATATTTTTTAGTCTTTGTAACCTTCTTTGATACATCAAAATTACAAATTATATAGTCATTATATAATATATATGAAAACATTATTTGATTTTTCAAAGTAAATATGAAAGATGATAATATGTGGGCTCTAAAATTATAGAGACATGTAGGTCTTATTTTGTGTGCACTATATACATTATAGGATGATATATATCCAAGTACTATGTGCACTACACTACTTATTTAGTGAGTGCATTAATGAATTCAAACACTTAACAATGTTCTAACAACACACATGTATGTGGCATTTGTTTACTTCATAAGATCATATACATTGATCCATGTATGTGTGCTTGGTTATACACATAAGATCTATATGTCTCCTATCATAGCTATATGCACTTAAACTATGCACTACTTAAGATAGTATACATGATTTGATATAGAAACACACATAAATAGGTTGGAATTACATAAGATCACATAAGATTAAATGAACACACTTCACTTGATATGAACACACTTCACTTGATATATGAACACACATAGCTTATGCATGAACACACATATCTTATCCATTGATATATATGAACCATTTTGAACTTTAGTGATCAAGGTACAATTACTTTACTTGAATGTTGCTCTTAACATTGCAATCAAAAATTAGGTTCAAATCTGCATCAAAATACACTGAATTCATGGATTTGACAATGATTTGACCATCATGGGCCCACCCGTCAGCCTCTTACCCAAGGTGAACCGAGTCCAACCAGTTCAAGAGCTGATCGGGTTGGCCTACCCGTCAGCCACCCAACGGCCGTAGCCCAAATCCCCCAAATCGAACACAATCCGCCCAAATCCCCCAAATCTGCTGCACCCGTCGTCGTGCGTCCACTCCACTAGCGAGCCCCCGCCGACGTGTCCACTCCACCGGCGAGCCCCCGACGCCGTGGGTCCACAACACCGTCCATCCCAGCCGCCGTGCTCCCACCCAGCGGTTAGCCCCGCCGCTGTGCTCCCACCCACTGTTCAGCCCCGCCGTCGTGCTCCAAACCACCTCGGTTAGGGTTCGAGCACCATGGCAACCAACTCTGGGTCAAGCTCGTCCCGAAACTCCATTGCACGCTATGGAGAGCCGTCCCCGAACGCCTCCCCAATTCCATATCGCCATCTGCCCTACTCGTACACGCCAGTAGTCATGGCTTCTACGATGAGAGGGCACCTAGGTGGGTATCATGGAGTGATGTGAATCCTGGAAGGAGGTATCACTGCTGCTACAAATATCAGGTGAGTTCAATTTACATTGAGTTCAATTTGCAATGAGTTCATTTATATATAGTCTGTCTAACAAAGTGCAATTTTCTTGTGGATGCAAGATGGTGGTTGTAATTTCTAGGAGTGGCTGGATCCAAAGCCAACTGAGCATCAGATCGAAATACTTGTTGATCTGCAAGATGCAGTCAAGGCCCTTCGTAAGAAGAATAAATCTCTTAAAGTGGAGAACAGTGAACTAGCATATTTGGTGGATGAAGCACATGCCAAGTATGTTGTACTGGTGAAGGAGAAGGAGGATCTTGTCAAGGAGAAGGAGGAGGCCAAGGCACTTGTCAAGGTCTGTTGTCGTTCTGTGAAGGTCCTTGCTGTGGCACTTGCTGTCTGTTTGGCACTCCTGGTGGCCACATGTAGTAAAGGTCCTCAGCCAAGGCCTATGATGCTTCAGCTGCTGTGAAAGAGTTGTATCAATGTTTGAATTAGATTAGTTTGAATGAGTTTTATGTATTAGCTAAGTCTTAGAACTGTATGTCATAGCTTTGGAGAACTGTATCCATTAGCTTAGTCTGATTGAGTTAGATTTTGAGAAGTGTATGAATGAGTTCCTAGTATCAATGTATCAATGACTTCCTGGTATCAATGTATCAATGACTTCATGGTATCAATTGTGTGAGAATTGTTTGTGAATTGCCAACTAAACATCTACCTGTTCCAATTGTTTGTGACTTGTCTGATACAGTGAATTGCAATTGTGATCCTAGAAAAATACAGTGATTTGTAATTGTGATCCCAGAAAAATACAATGAAGTTGACAGGAACATCAACATCCCAGAAAAAGTCAGATACGTCTACATCCAGAAGTAGACAGGTACAAATGTTTGTGCTCAATCAACATCCTAGAAAAGACAGGTACTAAAAAAGAGTCACAGTTACAATTGTTTGTGCTCAATCAACATCCCAGATTTAGACAGCTACAAATGACAGCTAATCTAATCATCATCATTACATTCCATGGGATCCCTATCATTGTCACTAAAATACTCAAAGATAGTATCATCTTCACAGCCTTCAGAGTCACTGTCCTCAACCATGTCTTCTTCCCTTCTATTGATAAGAACTTGTAAGTTACTAGGAACAGTATATTTTTGGCCACCCACATGTCGGTGCACTGGTGTAGACTCATCCAAGCCATCATCAACATCATCTTGTACCCCAAGCTCATTATCAGAACCATTTTCATCTTGGTGAACAGTGCTCAATTCTACTTCATTGACACCATACATGCTCCTATGCTCAAATTTTTGGACAACACGCCAATTTTTGCCAAATTGTGTGTCCTGCACATAGAAGACCTTTTTTGACTGAGTTGCTAATATGAATGGGTCCCTCTTGTAGCAAAGCCTCTCTACATTGATGGATCTAAAAAGGCCATCATCTCTAATGGTTCTAGCTTTGCCATCTTGACTGAACCAGTCACACCGAAAAAGTACGACCGTTCGAATGCATTCCAAACTGGAGTTGTAGCTCAACTCAACTATCTCTCTGAGCTGACCATAAAATTCTATCGCCAATCCATTATGTGTTCCATCCACCAGCACACCATTGTTTTGTGTTTGCCTTTGTCTTTCACGGTCGACAATGTTGTATCGAACACCATTGACACTGCATGATGCCCATAAGTTCACTCTTAGGTCAGGAGGACATGATATTGCATATAGACCTTCACTAACTTCTTCTCGATTATCCTTCCACTTAGTCTTGATCTAAAAAGACAACAAAATAAGTCAAAGCAACTATGATTACCAGCACACATAATTGAGTGAAACTTGCTACAATATGAATCTTGCTGCAAAATAAGTCGAATCAAGTATGAATCTAATATGCATCTTGCTGCAATATGAATCTTAAACCAAGCAAGTCAAAAATAAATCTAGAACCACTTACATGACTCCTAAACCAAGCAGGGAATTCCTTTTCCATCCTCTTCTCAACATCATGGCCACCTTCTTTGTCTAACTCTCCTCTAAACTTGCTGCACACACAGTTTACAATATATCTTGAGAAACAGTTTGTTGCACTCCTAAACTTTCTTTGTCAGGTGCACACACAGTGTGCTACACACTTACATAATTTAGAAACAAAACTCACCTCAAATATGGCTCTACCTCCTCACTATTGTTTAGCACATACCAACAAATCTTGTGAAATTCTTTATCATCAAGATATGTCTGCTTGTTGGCCCCCAAGAGTTTAACACCATGCTGGAATATAGGGAGGTCACCATCAGTTGCTCCATGATGCCATTTTTCATCATCTCGATTAAATCTAGTGACAACATCTTCCATGTAACTTGAACAAAAGGTCAAGGCCTCATTAGCTATGTACGCCTCAGCGATGGACCCTTTAGGTCTAGCCCTATTCCTCACATACCCCTTCAAAGTGCCCATTTGTCGTTCGATTGGGTACATCCATCCATATTGGACAAGACCTCTTAGGAGTGCTTCATCAGGAAGGTGGACAGCTAAGTGGACCATCACAT